AAACCTTACCAAGGTTCAGATTGACCCTTTCTTCCATTCAGAAAATTTTATAGGCTATGCCTCCGGAATCCATGGAGTCATACCCACCGGAAAACACACTGTTCCGGCCCCTTCTTGCCTCTCCGACGGACTGTTGGGAACAGAACCAGCTGTTACACAAAAAAGGAACTTCTCAAACCTTGAGACAGAAAGTTCTCTGCAGATTGACCTCTCACGTACCTGTACTGACACCGATGGGCCCCACCTCCTGCTTCTCTCAGCTGCACCAAATGACCCATCAACATCAAAGACAAAACCAAGCCTCTTGAGACCCGCGCCACCCTACCCACCCTCTGATCATTCACCAATTTGTCCATCCATTAATATGACAGGGCTACCAAACCAAAAAACCTTCCCCTCCCAAGCAAAGTCTCTGTCACACGACCTACCCCCGTCAGCCCCTCAATACCCATTAGAACCGATTATTGACCACTTTAAAGATCTTATACCTATATCACCTCCTCCCATACAGACATCTCCTCTCCCCAACCCAACTCTTCTACTTGAAGGGCCGAAACTAGCCGTTAACATTGAGGAAAAGCAAACCTTCCTTATTCCAGGTACAAAACAGTCAACAAACTCCCCTGTTCTTCTCTCTGAATCTGAACAAGGTTTATCTAGTCCTTATCCCCTTACCTCTGAACCACCCTCCCCAATCTCCCATGCACATACAACAGATAATGTGGCCCATGCTTCCATGGAGAGCACTGACAAACAACCTCCCCCTTGTTTGTTCGACCCCAACATCCACCCTTCAGAGTATCTCCAAGTGGTAGCACCTTGGCTCTGTACTATGGGAATGGGCATTTTCCCAATCCCTATCAAAGTCACAAAGAAGATGCTTACAAACAGAAAAGAGAATCGGGGCAAGAGGGAACTAGCTGGACTTTAATCTTCCATAAACTACGATAAACCCTTCCCTTATCTCACTGCTGGTGGGTCTACATCTACTAAATGATCATTCTCTCTTGGAATGTCAGAGGTCTTGGGTCATGGGACAAAAGAGCTATGATCAAAAGCCTCATTACCAACCAAAATCCTACCATTGTCATCCTCCAAGAAACGAAATTAGAAAAGATTGACCGTCTCACCATTAAATAGTTGTGGAGCTCCCGGGATATTGGGTGGACACCTTTGGATGCATCAGGCTCATCAAGGGGTATTCTTATTATGTGGAACGACCCATCTTTCCATGTTTCTAACATCACTGCGGGACTCTACACTTTAACCATCCTTATCACCTTTACTGATGGTTTTAATTTCTGGCTTACAGGGGTCTATGGACCATCTAGAGATTCTGAAAAGCCTCTTTTTTGGCAGGACTTAACCGATCTCTCTTGTCTATGCACCGTCTTCTGGCTTCTTGGAGGGGATTTTAACTCCATTAGATGGTCACAAGAGAAATCAAACTACCGCCGATCGAATAGAAATATGAGCTGCTTTAACTCATTCATTGAGAACGCAGAGCTATAGGACATCCCCTTGACAAATGGTCTCTACACATGGTCGGATTATCGAGACAGCCCCACCCTTACCTTGATTGACAGATTCCTTGCTTCCATGGATTTCCTCTGAAAATTCCAGAATGCATCGGTTAAGAGATTAAGCCGCCCAACCTCAGATCACTACCCCATCCTGCTCTCTTTTGGCATGGCAAAATGGGGCCCATCTCCCTTCAAGTTTGAAAATGCTTGGTTACAACATCGATCCCTTAAACATTTGATTGAATATTGGTGGATTAATACCCCTCTCAGAGGATGGCCGGGTCACGGTTTTATACAAAAGCTAAAGGGGTTAAAATCAGTTTTAAAGTTATGGAACAAAACCACTTTTGGAAGCATCACACAACAAAAGAATATTCTTCTTTCTGAACTTTCAATCTTGGATAGTATAGAAGAAGAAATGGGTTTCTTGCAACCTGTACAATCCACACAAAGGAGATCCATCAAGGCTCAACTTCTTTNACCATCCTTATCACCTTTACTGATGGTTTTAATTTCTGGCTTACAGGGGTCTATGGACCATCTAGAGATTCTGAAAAGCCTCTTTTTTGGCAGGAATTAACCGATCTCTCTTGTCTATGCACCGTCTTCTGGCTTCTTGGAGGGGTTTTTAACTCCATTAGATGGTCACAAGAGAAATCAAACTACCGCCGACCGAACAGAAATATGAGTTGCTTTAACTCATTCATTGAGAACGTAGAGCTACAGGACATCCCCTTGAAAAATGGTCTCTACACATGGTCGGATTATCGAGACAGCCCTACCCTTACCTTGATTGACAGATTCCTTGCTTCCGTGGATTTCCTCCCAAAATTCCAGAATGCATCGGTTAAGAGATTAAGCCGCCCAACCTCAGATCACTACCCCATCCTACTCTCTTTTGGCATGGCAAAATGGGGCCCATCTCCCTTCAGGTTTGAAAATGCTTGGTTACAACATCGATCCCTTAAACCTTTGATCAAATATTGGTGGATTAATACCCCTCTCAGAGGATGGCCGGGTCACGGTTTTATACAAAAGCTAAAGGGGTTAAAATCAGTTTTAAAGTTATGGAATAAAACCACTTTTGGAAGCATCACACAACAAAAGAATATTCTTCTTTTTGAACTTTCAATCTTGGATAGTATAGAAGAAGAAATGGGTTTCTTGCAACCTGTACAATCCACACAAAGGAGATCCATCAAGGCTCAACTTCTTTCCACAGTGGCAAAAGAAGAATCCCTTTGGAGACAGAGATGCAAAAACAGATGGCTACAGGAGGGTGATCAAAACACTTCTTTTCTCCATAGAATTGTGGCGGCTAAAAGGAGGAAAAACACGATTTCTGAAATCCTCTCTTCCGAAGTCACTAGCCTTTTTGAAGAAAATGAAATTGAACAAGAATTCCTTTCTTTCTTTGACAGGTTATACACCAAGAAGGAAGGCATAAGGTTTCTTCCAACCCCTCTAGAATGGAACCCAATCTCCGCACAACAAAGTGCCTTTATCGAACAGCCTTTCACGGAGGAAGAAATATGGAGAGCTGTAAAAGATTTGGGATCAAACAAGTCTCTTGGTCCTGACGGTTGCGCTCACTCTATTTTAAAATCTTCCTTCCCCACAATAGCCCTTACACCTCATTCCCTCGAACTAACAATATTCCTAGGGCCCACACAAAACCTCACACCTTATTGCTTTCATGGCCCCTCCTGTCTCACACGCTTATGTGTATAATATTTAGTGATTTATCAAAATCCTAACACAAAAGACAAAAGATACCTTCCTAGCTAAAGCCATCAACATATAAGCACACCCCAAACATTTGACCTTCCAACTAACTATGGGTAGGGGAATTTCTATCCTTACGTCTTCCTAGCATCGGTATTGATAGTATGGGCTTCACAGTTACAAAGGACACCCAATAGAAAAGTACAAACAGCCCAACCAAAAACCAAAAATACAACAAACACTCTTGGTCCAAACCAAAGGAGACAGGATAGCATTTTTTGATAGGACACGTGATAACCGACACGGTAACCATAAAAAGCCATTATATATTCAGCCTAAACCTACCAACAGCCCAAATGCCAAAGAAAACATCGCCAAGGAGCTTGGAACAGCATAAGCTAATTGAGTCATAAACCAACTATTTTCTTTTGAGATGCTTAAACAACCAACTAAACAAACAAAATTATTCCTAACCACCAGGACCTAAACCTAATCCCACCAAAACAAAACAAAAGCTTCAGAACTATTGTTTCTTCTTGAAGGCTTTCTTATACTTCAACGAACTCTTCTTTTTTGCATTATCCTTTCCATTAGATATTGGAACCAAACTTATTCCAGATTTCTTAAAAAAATTAGCACCCTCTTCCGTGTCTAGAAGAGAAGAAATGATTTTGGCATTGGGTTCCACATTGCTAAGACAAAACAAGAAGCGACCCTTCATCCACCCTAAGGGTATTAATTTAACGATTATCACTTACGTCTGAGCTATCTGAGAGACCACAGAAACCATCTCTATCCATATTCCTCAAGTCTTGATGTTTCCTTTTTCCAGACTGCCAGTGGCCTATACTAAGGTGGAGAGGTTGGTGAACTTCCTTCCTTTCTAGCCTTCCTATTTCAATAAACTTGAATTCCACCGAGAAGACTATTTCTAATAGTTATAAGTTAAGTAACTGTTACCCACTTGACTGGCTAAAAGTTTGATTTCCTTCAGTTTCTTGCGACTTCTTTTCTTCAATTAATTCTTTTCTATTATTTATCCATCGTCCTTTTAACCTAACATACCTCTTCATTAGAAACTTCCTCAAAAGTAATCAACTAAGGAGGGTGATTTTCATCTTGTTGTATATAACTGTACTGTATTCCCTCAGCACCACCTACTATTCCAATTCACTTTACATGGGTTTCGTGGTGGAGTTTTTAAGCATATCTATTACCATCAAGCAACAAGGAAGTTTGTCAAGCAGGCATGAAAAGAGATGTGCCAAGTTTGTTGGATAATGCAAAAATCTTCCAGCGAAGTAAATAGTTAGCTATATCACCTATGGGACATTTTGCAGCACTACCTTTCACGCATTTAGTGGGGAGAATATTTCAATAAACTTTATGAAGGAGCCCCCAGTGTCTGGTTGGAGGTGATTTTGGTGGTACAAGACCAGCTACGTACGCCCATTTCATTGCATCAGAAGCAACCGTTTACAGTAAAGATAATACATCACAGAACTTGTACTGAATCAAATTTTAGTTGGAAGAGGTGAAACATTTATACAGTACTTCTACCCTGAGCATTACTCCCTCTGGATTCTTAATGCACCACTAGATATAGCTTAAAAACAAAAAAGTTACTATCTAAGGATTTTTCCAATCAAATACTCCATCCAAAAGTTGTCAGTTTATATTGTAGTGCAAGCTCAAAAGTTAAATATCAAAAGGGAAACTTAGATAATTAATAACAGAGAAAATCATGATGCATACCTGCCTCCTTTGTTACTGATCTCTTGAACTCCATTCATACTCAGACCAGAAGCTTGCAGGGGAACAGCACATGAGCCAAATGCGGCGTTTGAAATTACTGGAAATTTTTCGGAACTGCTAATTAGAATTGCAGCAGAGGACGACGGAACACCCAAGCACATTCCATCAACAAGAACATTAGATTTGCAATCGGGCATCTTTTTCAGTCTTGTATTTCTCTTGCTGTACTTCAACAAATAGCGTTTAGTTGTATCTCTCCTCCTATACTTAAAGAAATAGTGATAGGGCTTTGCAATGCATCTCTCATCCCTGGGCAGAGCAAATATATCTTGTTTGAGTGACGGTTGAGGCTCAGAGCATAACCTATCACAATCACAACCCCAACCCGAACTCGTTAATTGTTTTGACCTGTGCCTGAGATCTTCTTTTAATGGAAATTCCACATTCTCAGACTCAGTATCACACGTTGCCTGGCAAGCATTGCCCTGTATAGATATAGGATCTTTACCAACGGATTCTTGATGATTAGATTCTGGCGAGATGTGATCTTCCGCCGTCACTGAAGGCTCAGAAGCAACATTATCAGGAGAGTTGCGTATAGTGTTATGTATCAAAACTTGAGGGGTTTTTAAGCAATCAAATTCCTCGCTACACAGTACTCCAACTGATGGATCGCCGTCATCCAGCATATTCTCAAAGGCCATGTAGTTCGAGTTCACCGAACACAAATTCCTGGAAAGCCTTGGAGAACTATTCATAGATCGGTGCAACTGAATTGCCAACTCTGCATCGTCGGCAGATTCTCCAGACTCTTTGGCAGCGATTTCTTCCCTTTGGGCAACCAAATTTAAGGTATCGCTAGCCAACTCGGCAGCCCTTCTAGCTACAGCAGCCTTTTTGAGCGCGTGCTCCCTAGCCCTAGACGCGGCGTCAATTTTCTTCTCGGCCAAACAATTTGCATCCTTCACGATTTCACCCAAGGATTTGCAGTCTCCGCCCGTCGAAACCTTAGAACTCTTCAAATCCGAAACATGAGTATTTGTTCTCCTAATTTTCCTACTTTTCATAATCGCCCTTGCTGTCACAATTGGTTTGGGAACCCAACAATCAATACATACTGAAAACTCAGAACCCGAAGAGGAATATGACCAAGGAGCAACTCTACTAGACTGGGAATAACATTCCCTGTGAACCCGACGGTTGCACTCGCAGCAACGAAAGCAATCGCCTCTCGAGTCGGCAAAACAGTAAGAACAAACCTTGGAAGATTCAACAAGAGAAAAGCATTTCTTACAAAGAAGAACAATTCGCCACTTGCTGTAGAGGGAATTGAGCCTCGAACGGCCGTCAGCGGCGTCAACACGAATTCCGCAAGCATGACATTCCGAGAAGTTAGGCAAATCACGAGTTTTCTTCGGGAGAGAGGGGAGTGCGGGGTTTGCGGTTTGAGGCGCGACGAACAGAGTCGGGTTTAGAGGAACCGAAGACGAAGAAGAAAGAGAAGACGGCGGCAGAGGCGGTGGTCGTCGCCGTCGTCTAACGAAGGTTTTGTGCACTTTGTTTACAATTTGAATGCCGGATTCCATCGAGAAGCTGCGTTCGAATGGAAATGCGAGGAATTCATGGGCGTCGCGGTATTTGGGAACTTGGAATTAGGGTTTACAGCGGCAAAGATTTATACAATTTGGGTTTGTGCCATAGTAGGAAAAAGACGGCGAAGATATCGCCATTGGAGAATGGAGAATCTTGGGGCCCTCTGGTTCTGTCCCTTGTGAAGTCTTGGTCTAGTTTTATACCTGCGTATCTTTTGCTTTTTTGATTTAACCAACGTCTTCTCTTCTACTCCCTCGTCCATGGATAAATGTTTGACAAGCCATTTGGGTGTGACTTCTTTACATAACATTTTAGAGAAATTTTAAAATTAAAATTCTCTTTTTGTCCTCAAGTTTCAAAACTTAACTTAACTTAGGACTTCCAAAATAACTCTAAATAGTTCTAAAGTTAAAGTATTGTTAGTTTTTTTTTTTTTAATAGAAATGTGATGGGGCTATTTTAGGTGTATATGTGGAATATTTTTAAATTTTAAATTATTAGAAAAATTAAATTAAAATTTAAAATTTTCTTCTCTCTTACCCTCCCCTCTCTTTCTTATCTCTTTTCTCTCTCCTCCTCTTATATCTATCAAGGTTTTTGTCCCTTTTCAACTAATCTCGTCGTTGGTCGTCCCATTCTTGACGGTTCGCTTTCTCCTTTCTTTGACTTACTTTTCCTTCCTGCAAAACACTCCCCGTCGCGTGTTTTTGTGCTCGTTGTTGTCACCCTAAATCAAAAATGAATGTGCCTTCACCTTCGTTTCAGATCTAGGAAGGAGACCTCTAAACAAAGGAGTCTCCATTCCAAGCAAATTTGAAATGAAGGCTTTCACCTTTGTTCCAAGTGAACGAAGAGGCTTCGTTGATGAGGAGGGATACCCAATATTAGGGAGGAGGGCAACGCTGGCGACATGGTTTGCGAGAGGAAGAGTGAGGTAGTAGGACATGGAGGAGAGTGGAGGAGAGAAAAGGTGAGGGGAGCAATTAAATTTTAATTTTAATAAATTTTTCTATATCAATAATTTAAATTAAAAAGTATGCCACAAATACACTTAAAATTATATTGCCATATTTCTATTAAAAAAATTTAATAATGGTAATTTAGAATCTTAGATTTAAGGAACTATTTTCAAAACCTCAAGGACGAAACTGTTAGATTTTGGAACCTAATGACCAAGTAGAATCCTAATCTAAATCTTAAAGGATAGAAGTGTATTTTACATAAAGATCTATTAGTTTCCTAATGGAAGTTGACATGGCACGCTAATCATGCAAAAAAAAATAATAAAATTCTTACTACGAGAGTACCATACTTCCTTTATTCACACTATAACTTTATATTTATAAATAACTTTCTAATATAAGTGGAGTTCACATTATTTTTAATTTGATGTTGACGTGGCAAGAAGTGAATGGGAGGAATATCCATACTCCYGTATATCAGGTATTTTGTGATTCCCCTCCCCCTTTCATTGTCATCACCCACATAGACAAGGGAGGAGGTTTTGGCAGTTTTTAATATGATATTTCCTGGTTGGTTTCCAAAAATGGAAACTGACTTTTTTTCCCCATTGCTAGCACTAATCGACCGGTCAATTTTGGTCGGTCAATTTTGATTTAAACCGAGGGGGAGTGAGTAGAGGCAAGGCGGGCACACACTACAAGAAACGAAGTTTTCAGCGACAAACTTTTAGAGACATATTAACAACAATGTCACTAAAATGAGCTTTCAGCGACATCGTCAACATGTGATGTCGCTGAATCTCTTTTTCAGCGACGCCTTGTACCATATGTTGCTGAAAGTCTAGTTTCAGCAACAAGGTTAACATATTGTCGCTGAAAATCTCTTATTTTTATCCCAAATCAGTTCGCGATTTCAGAAACCCTCGCCGCTAACGCAATTTCTTCTCCCATCCGTCGTCGCGTCGCCGATTTCAGCACCACCCCTCTCCGTTCATCTCCTCCGGTTGCCGGTATCGAGGTGTGGTGGTTGCCGTCGCCCATAGTCGCCGGATTCGAGTGGGTAGCGTTGGATTCTAGTGGGTAGTCGCGGATTCGAGTGGCCGTTCGTCTCCTCCGGTTGCCGGTATCGAGGTGTGGTGGTTGCTGTCGCCCATAGTCGCCGGATTCAAGTGGGTAGCGTTGGATTCGAGTGAGTAGTCGCGGATTTGAGTGGGTTGTCGCCGGATTCTAGTGGGTATTGTTTAATCTCTCCCTTTAAGTTGTATTTTCACTTTTGGATGGTTTAAAATTTAATTTTGGAATGGGTTAAAATGCGAGTTGTTTAGATTTATGAATCCTATTTTAAATAGAAATTTATGTGGATTGTTTTTATTAGAATTTGATTTTGGAATGAGTTAAAATGTGAGGTGTTAGTTGTATTTTCACTTTTGGATGGTTTAGGATTTCATTTTGGAATGAGTTAAAATGTGAGTTGTCTAGATTTATGAATCCTATTTTAAATAGAAATTTATGTGGGTTGTTTTGATTAGGATTTGATTTTGGAATGAGTTAAAATGTGAGGTGTTACTTGTATTTTCACTTTTGGATGGTTCAGGATTTGATTTTGGAATGAGTTAAAATGTGGATTGTCTAGATTTATGAATCCTATTTTAA